ATACTTGTCCGATTGTTTACATTGTGGTGTCAGTTGATTAAGCGCTTTTCGGGTAATTACATATACCTCAGTTTGTATTGATCTCTCGAAGCATAACGATGGAGTGGGGCAAGGCAGAGAACCGTATTGCAGTGATAGCTTTACATAAGTGTAATCACAGTGCTAGTCAGATATTTGAACTCTTACGCGGCCTTCAAATATCGCGTAAATTTGTGTCTAGGACCATTCAGAGGTACAATGAGACGTCCTCTGTTGATGACAGGCCAAGAAGCGGAAGACCTCGTCAAGTAAGGACTCCAGCAGCCATCAAAGCCGTAAAAGCCAGGATTCAAAGGAATCCACTCCGGAAGCAGAAGATCCTATCCAGGGAAATGAAGATTCCTGTCCGGACGATGTCGCGCATCATTAAACAAGACCTAGGGCTAGGGGCTTACCGGAGACGTACGGGCCAGCGACTTACGGCCACCTTGCGACACATCAGGGCGACAAGATCCAAGAAGCTCTTGGAGAGGTACGCAGCTGGGGGATTCCGAAAGATTTTGTTCACGGATGAGAAAATCTTCACCATAGAAGAAAAGTTCAACCGACAAAATGACAAAGTGTATGCAAGGAGTTCACAGGAAGCTTCGGAGATCATTCCGAGAGTTGAGAGAGGCCACCACCCTGCGTCAGTCATGGTTTGGTGGGGGGTGTCCTACGAAGGGGTCACTCAGCTCCATTTCTGTAAACAGGGCGTGAAAACAAAAGCGGCAAACTATCAGAGCGACATACTGGATCCTATCGTCAAGCCTTTAAGTGGTACATTGTTTGCCAACCAACACTGGGTCTACCAGCAGGATTCCGCCCCCGCTCACAAGGCTAAGAGTACGCAGCGCTGGCTGGAAAGCAATGTGCCAGAGTTCATTGCTGCGGAAGATTGGCCCTCAGGGAGTCCGGACCTCAATCCTTTAGACTACAAGTTGTGGGACCTGCTAGAGCAGTTGGCCTGCTCCAAAGCCCACCGTAATATCGAGTCCCTGAAAGCGGATTTGATCCGATCAGCGGCAGCTATTCCTTTGGAAGCTGTGCGTGCAGTGATAGATGAGTGGCCCGCGAGATTGAAGCAGTGTGTGAAGGCCAAGGGGGGACATTTTGAATAAAACTGTTTGATTATGAATTCTAAAAATGTTGTCGAATAAATAATATCTTTCATATAAATATATCTTATCTTGTTTCATTTTTATCATGAGATTATCATGGGACAGAACTTATGGCACGACTACGTATCATGTGTAGCCTGTATACCACAAGAATATTAAAATATGGCCATATAAACTCACTGGAAAATGTCCAACTGTATATGGTTTTGCTAATATCTTTTTTGATTGTGTTTTCCTATTATTTCTGCTAAATCAGTAAATGTTTTCTTTGACATGGGGAAAAGTTTAGAGAATTGAAAGTTATCATAGCTACAAAGCCATGGTTGCATCATTAAAAATTATTTTCTGAAATATTATGAAGGGTTTCTTTTTTAAACTTTCCTTGCACTGTTGTAGACGAAAAAGCACCGATTATTAAGTGATAATAGAAATAGTCAGTTGTTAACAATCCATCCACATATAATCAGCGTACAGTCATTCAATTTTTGTGTGCTGAAGGTTTACAACCATTGCAAATTCATACGCGAATGCAAGCAATGTATGGAAACGCATGTTTTGCGTATCCAACTGTCAAAGTATGGTGTCGAAAATTTAAGAGTGGAAAAGAGGAGACGAATGATAAGCCGCTACCAGAGGTGCATTAAGTACTGGATCAACAGACAGGAATGTGGCATGTGTGGAAGGCATGCTTAGAGAAAATCGTCGAATTTCAATCAGAACAATTTCAGAAAATGTTGGTGTGAGCATAGGTTTTGTGCACAAATTGAGTTACAGCAAAGTTTGTGCGCACTGAGTTCTACGCCTTTTTTCAGAGTACCAAAAAAGCCTGCGAATGGGCTTATCTTTGCATCTCACGGAATACAAGCAAAACGGTAATGACTTCCTTTCGTCAATAATTGCTGGCGACGAATCTTGAACTATCTAGTAAGCTGTCATCGAGGCAATGGAAACACGCAAATTCTCCGCCACCAAAGAAGTCTAAAGTTCAACCTGCTGCAGGCAAGGTCATGTTGACATTTTTTTTTTCAACCATGAAGGACCCTTGTTCATAGAGCTTAAAGAACCTATAGTCCATATCAACGGAAATCTGTATAATGAAACTTTGAACAATTTCCATCAAGCACTAAGACGAAAACGTCCAGGGAAGCTCTCACGTGGTGTCATTCTTCTGTACGACAATGCTCTGCCTCATGTGGCCAGAGTAGTGAAAGAAAGTCTACAACGAACGAAATGGAGGATATTGTAGCATCCACCCTATAGTCACGATTTATCGCCTTGCGATTTTCACATCTTTGGGCCACTGAAAAATGCGTTAAAAGATAAGTATTTTCAGTTGGGCGAAGAAATATAAAATGCCGTTAAACAATTATTTAATCAGGGTAAACATCGATTGCTGAAACAATAGGATGTGTGCCTTAATTGTAATGGTAATTATTTGTAGATATATTTGCCAATACATTTTTTCTGTACCAAAGATCGGTTTCAATTGAACAAGCCTCGTAGTTTGAAAATACGTTGAAATTTGGCATTGAAAGTGTCATTTTAACAGTACTCACGTTATGTTTTGTACTTATTCACTGTTACTAGTGACATAAAAATCAACAATACCCTGTATTCTGGTAACGGACATGAGTTTATAGGAACTGTTTTTGTTGTTTTTGGTTATACTTTTTTCATTATTGTTTTATGAATTACCATGTTTATGTTCAGGAAATAGATATTTTTTTAATAATTGATTTCTTAAAACAAATATTTATTGAAACATTACTCAAAACTATTAAGTATGAATAATTTGCTCTTGTTCATCATCGCTAGAAGCTTCATCAAAATATTATCCACTTAAGTCATCGCCATTGTTCTCACCATCGTTTCTAACGGCTCCGCTATGATGATGTTGCAAATATTTGTATCTAACAATTATACTTTTTGGCATTGTCAGACCCGATACTACACTGTATGTTACACCCACATACGCACAAACTTGGTAGCCTGAAGCAGACATTTGTCTGGCTAAGCAAATGTAGTTTTGAAATAGTCCCCTAAATAACATATATAAAAATCAAACGTCAGAATGCAAAAATGAGCTATATGTTTCAAAATAGTGGCGTAGAGAATAATTCTCTTTTTTCATCTATGGGGAAAAATTGTCCATTCTCTACGCCACTGGTGTAGTTTCGGGCACAAACATGTTTATATGTTTTGGATATAATGTTAGTACTACACGTACAAAATGTTAAGTAAATATCTCAATCCACTGCGAATATAATATATTCTTTATTACTTCCAACACCTACTGGCGGTGAAGGGAAATTAAAATCTTCTCAGGCTCGTGTGTATCCTCACAAAAATTTGGCGCCGTTCGCTTTCCCTTGGTCTAAGTCCCTGGCAAATGCTGAATTTATAGGGTTGATATCTATTTTTACGCCAAATAATTTGGGCTGTGGGTTTGGATACTCCTACATTTTTCTCAATTTATCTAGTTGATATCTCAGAGTTCTCAGCAAAACACTATTCCGAGTTTCCTTTGAAGATTCCTTTTCGCGACGTAACAGGCTTTTTGAATGAACCATATTCATTTCAATTTCGAGCCAACTCTCAGAAAATGGACCTACTTGGCTGCCTTCTTTCGGGAAATTTATCAAGATACATTTTTGCAGTATTTTTGTATACAATATTAATAATACAGAAGAATACCAATACTGGGTGACAGGTATTTACAAGTCAAGAATTTATTTGCAACAACTACTTAAAAAAATAAAAAGAACAGAAGACACGCATTTTTCCTTATAACCAAGAAAATAAATGTAACATGTGATACATCGTTGAATTCGTATAAAAATGTTATTAGATACAGGGTGTACGTTTTTCTGTCGGGCCGAATAAAAAAATAAAGTTGATGATGTTTTTTCAAAAACCGTCGGGCACAAAATTCAAAAACATCATCATGTAGCGCTTAATGGAAGAGTTTCATTAGTTTTTTGATATTTCTTAAAGTAAAGTCGGAAAAAATAATTTGTCCAAATTTTAGTTTTTCCCAACTATCTCAGTAAGGCATGACATTTTTACAAATTTCTCAACGGCTTGTAAATAGGCCCCAAAGAACGCAACTTTCCTAATTTAGCCTAAGCTGCATCTTGCACAGGTATTGAGATCGCCATGCATATGATCCTTATCCTGTATAAAAATCAAGCGTGAGAAAGTAAAAGTATAGTTCAAATATATTTTTGGGTGGCTCAAATTATCGACCACGGTAGATGTCGGGCAGTTCCGAATATTACTTTGTTATGATGTTTTACAATGTATATATAAAAATCTGCCATAAGAATATAAGTAAAGTTGATCTTGTTTTACTTACCTTTCTCACCTGGCAGCTCTTGGATCATATATATAATTGCTAAGAAGTCTCTTAAAGCGTATAATGTAGTCAGATTAAAGAAAATGTAAAGCTTGTCCAAATCAACCCTACATTCCGTTTTTTAATACCATCTTTGATTCACTAATATCTTAGAACATATGGAGAATCTCTTAGTTTCAAAAACAGGTATTCTCATCATAGAAAGGTCACCTGACCATCTGATGTTAACATTATGAACTTCCAATATGGTTGGCCCTCTTTTCTACCTTAAAAATATTGCCACTGTTTTTTAAAGCACCATGTGTATCTAATGAAACTTATCTTTAAATTTAATATGTTTCACTTGTGAACACTTCCATATTGTAGAAGTTTTTGACACCCTGCATAATATACCTCTAGATCTGTTGATTAGTCACTATAGTTTGAATATTATGGAGTCTGTATGAATCTGGAGATTTCGGTTTATTCTCAAAGTCCAATACAACTAACATTTATATTGATTTCAGATTAGCTGTAGGCAGCCAATGCTCAACAATCAAGTTAAACAATTCTTGGATACTGCTGATGGACATGTGATGTTTAGCATTGTCCACGAATTTTTAGAATTCTTCAATTTGTACTCTACACTCTCTGTATATCATGCTGAAGGTTATTTTCATGATAATGGTTACAAAGGAAGACAAAAATTAGTTGAAGATTTAGGTCTACCTATAAAGGACGAAAGCAAGCCTATACTATTTCATTTGCTTAAAATTGCTCAAGTGCACTTAACAGGTGATATTTTGAACTCAAATGTAAGTAATTCAACCTCAATTCACACAGGACGTGACAAGTCAACATCAGAATCCTCATTAGAAGTAGCAAAAGATTGTTCTGAAGTTGGAGTAATAAACGAACAAAATGGTAATCTTAATGCTACATACTGCATCAATAAACTGAGGCTTAGTACTGAAGATAGTAGAATAAATAAATCAGAATCTCTTACAAATGGTTATAGCAGCCTGGAAGAAGTAGATGAAGAGGTATCTATGTCAGATGCTGCCATAGTTATTAATCACAATAAGACTGCAGAAGAGGAATTAGTTAAAGCAATAGAAAAACAAAAACTTACACAAAAGTCTGATAAAATGAAGTCAAAAAGTAGCTTAAGTTCCCTATCGGATCTTCCACCGTTACAGCTGAACAGATCTAGAGGAGATATGTTACCGTCTTTATACAGCAAGGAATTAAAGGAGCGATCAAATTTGAAGGAATTAGATAAGCTGTTTGATGTTGAAACAGAATATGAAGAAGATTTCACTTGGAATGGCGCCAGTCTTTCCTCAGATTTTAAACCATTGCATTCATGCAAAGATGTCAGGGAAGTTCCTATTAATAATGATTCAAGTACTTCAAATTTAAAACCAGGAAGCATTGACTTCAAATCCACTTTGGCGCCAGCTAGTCATAGAGAGCCAGATCCTCCAGACCTAACTAAACTAAAGGAAGACCAAACTGTTGGCTGTAGTTCTAAAGAGCACTAGGATTATGTATATGACATGTTAGGGACATGTTATACGAACGATGAAAGCGCGAAGAATTTGGCACATTTCTGATGTTATACAAATACCGAAAACGTGGCGTTGACAACACATTCCCAATCTCGATCGCTCCACCATGCCAGTTTGACGCAATCATAACAAAAAACTATGAATGTATGCCTAAAACGTTGTTGCATTCATAGTTCTATGGGGTTAGAATATCTGAGAAATGAGGTGATTTCAAGCCGTTGGAAGTTACAGTTGACGGGGTTAATTATTGAAATGAGGGAGTAGAATAACTGAGAGAAAGTGGACACGATTGACTTACCTTTTAGTGAACTGTACTATCGAAAACTGCTAGAATAGTTGCTCCCTGAATCATTCTCTAGCGCAAAAATACGGAAGTTTCGTCGTCGTCCATCAGTCTCAACTCTAAGGATGAAGTTAACTCTGTGATGGAACGTTCTGTAATATGAAGGGCCTGGAGTATTTTATTTTGCAAAGGATGAATTCACAAACTTGTTTGACAAGTGCATACAACTGTCAGAATTTGGGATCAATCACAAAGGAAAGGAACTACACCCACTTTCTCTCAGAGATTCTACTCCCTAGTTTTCTAGAATTGAGGCCAATGTCAATATGTTTACAAGGTACTCAACGCTCGGCCGTCTTGATTGTAGTTCGTATAATGATATATAGAAATCCTATTTTCCTTTATAAGGATAAACTGATTTTGCCGTGACGTTTTCGACGTTCGTTTAACATGTCACTGGGCTGGCACACACTGGGGAACCGCAGAGAAGATCATCGGGGATTTCCCCAGGCAGCGGACACTGGTAAGAAAAATCCTCCGGCGATACTGCCTGCGTTCGTCAGCCTACCGTGGCATTCTACCACCTTACCACAGTATTTACAGCTTAGCAGATTCTTGCTCATGCGGCGTGCTGTAGTCGGTATACCAGAACAATTGCGTACTCTTCCATATGTGCAGCAAAGTGCTGTTCTGTCTGAGTATCAGAGAGAATCGAAATTTGTGAATTATAGATGCTGCGGAAAGCTGTCGGGATGCCGACTGATAGATACCCAACATTGAGCTATCTAGAGATCGAGAGGTGCTCAAGGTACCGCGGGAGGTTTTTCTTGTGTATGTTCTGCCAGGAGATTTTTATTTAGATATTTCAAAATATAATCTTCAGATTAATCACAAACACTGCGTCAAAATGAAGTTCTGGCATTGACTGTGCAGTTTTGTAACTGTGTAAAAGTCTCTGCCCCTTATACCCGTGTCATACTAGGATCGTATCCACGCATGGTAAACGATTCGTCTCATTAGGTCTACTAGGTCTGATTGTCCAGATACCAGGCAAAATCAGGGAGAAAGAAGGAAGTGGGAGATCAAAGTGAAAGAAGTGCTTCGGTTGGAGGGTTGCATTGTCATTGCCAACTAGTATTCGGAAATTTTAAATTCATGCAAAAATTGATTTAAAGATTAGTTGTGGAAAAATTGTGATCTTGTTAGGTGCTAAAATTTTGTTCACAGTGCGAGTCTGTATTCTACTCACTTGACAAGAAGTTGTTATGGTCGACTATAACCTCGGTACGCGTAATCGATGTAGTTCCTTAGGTGAGGGATGTCAAGGTCTTTATAAGGGGTCTCATTTGAGACACCATAGGGCGTAGTATTCCATTTAGTATAACTATTGGTGTTGACAGTTCTGTCATTTCATTCTCCATAATTCGATGTCTCAAAAATATGTATGTAATCGACCTGTCGATGTTCAACCGCAATGACTACGTATGCCGACGTTGCTCATCCAGTACTATTCAACACTGCACATACCATATTGTCAGCAAAATATGCTATGTTCATAATTACGGTGTAGTTACATTTATGCATCACATGTAAAGAAAATTGTCATGCCAGATACGATTCTAGTATGATACGATATAATGGGCATGTTGTATATTATCTTTGCAAAGTGAGAGTACTAGTGTCTTATATCAGCAATTTAATCAAGTTATCTACAAACAAACATTGGTTAATACAAGTTCTAATAAAATCACTAATGGGAATTGATTTTTTGCAATATTTTCGATATGCTTTTAGTGTTAAAAAAGGAGTATAGTCGTGCAAATTTAGAAGCACAGTTTGTAGAATTCGCAGGAAAGAGTGATTTTATAGTTTTTTCGCCGTTATTCTAGGAATTGTCATGTTCCATTCATTAGTGCTCATATTTTTGTTGCCATTTTTTAGTTTAGTTTTATTTATTTGACCTTAGGAATAGATATACTCGTACAAGTAATAACTAACTGTACATTTTAGGTTAAGTCACTTGCAATCTTGAGAATTTTTGATTTGTCTTGTTCTGAAAACACCTCAATGTATTATGCAAAATATTTTTTTCAAGGAACCATATACAGAAAATTCGTAAAGAACAAAAAATATGCGATTCAATTGCATATTTTGACAAGATATATTTACTTATAGAGATACGTTTTTACGATTTTAAAGAACAGGGTAGCACAAAAAATGTACAAATAATTTTTACTTTGTGCTGTATTTCATTTTACTCTGAATTTTTTTCATGTATCTGGTTCTGTTCTTACAGTGAGCCTACTGAAAGTATCTCAAATCGTGTGGACATATGTTTATCGATTTTGTTACTTAATTTATATCCATTATAATACAATTTTTTATGTATGTACATTCCCTATTTTGCAGCTACAAAGTAGCATTAGCTATGTACTTTGGCCTTTGTACTTAATGTCCAAAAACAACGTTGTGCCTTCATTTTTTGTGATTTTTATAACTGTTACTAAAATTTAAATATACACATCAGAATTACTCTAGGCATTTTTAGTTAATTCTAATAAAAAACATTGCGTGGAAGGCTACATTCAGAGACAGATTGAAATATTATGTCAAATATCACTGACAAACCTTAGAATGCCCCGTGCTATCAAGTGATAGCTATTCTCGAAGGAATTCTAATGAATTTTATAGCTTTTATATTATAAGTTGATTAGCCAAAAATTGATCCTGTTTTAGAAAAAAATGTATTAAGTTGGTTTAAATCAGAATTATATTCTTGAGGGTATAAATATAAAAAGTCCCCTCATCGAAATGTATAACAAACTTTGCCAACCTTTTTATTAGACGTCAAAGTTGGAAGAGACACTTTTTCATGCATATTTGAATTATTGACGTAATTGGTCTAAAAGTTAGAGGATGAAAATACCTTGAAAATGAGACCTTACAAGGCCGATTTGCTTTAACGGTTAATTAGTTATTACAAAAAAGGCAAAAATCGTCGACTTCTACAATCCATTCCAGTCGATTTCTACATTTATTTTTCACTAGAAAATGCACAACGGTAGATCCGAAATAAAACCACTGTGATGCTCAACAAATGAAAAACATTCATTCGGAGATGCTCAAACGTTTCTACAATTTTCTTTTCCGGGTTTTACACTAATTTTTTTGAATAAAAGAGACTAAGGTAATGTAGAAAAATGGAGTTATCTTGTTTTTACAGTAAAGTGACGATACGCTTTATTGTGGAGCTAGAAAGCAGTTTAAGCTATAGCCTGTGAAATTGGAGTTACAAGGTTGAAATATCTAATTTAATTCCGCCATTTTGTTTTGTATAAAATTTTAATGTAGCTTGTGTCACTGGCACCGCTAAGACGAATCCAACGACACTTCACATGTGAAAATACGTCCAGCCGTTTGACGTGTAGGTGAAAATATGCACGTTATCCATATCAACTCAAATGAGAATCACTCTACGCGTGATGTGATGCGCGCCCGCGCCCAAAAATCGAACATCCGAGCATCCGGCACTAGATTTTACTATATTAAAAAATAATAAAGCGTCTTTGAAGTGATGGATCTACTGACTAAGAAAAAATATACGATTTGTGTGAGGCGGGCGGGGCGGTCTCTTAATTATCATATTAAATCCAGAAATAACTTCATATATCACATGATGCAGTTACAAAAACCTGTTTTTTATTTGGGTCCGGTATTAACGCAACTTCCATTACCATGAATCAAATCTTATACAATAGAATAGATTGACATGACCATAGTCCTGAGCATTTTGTCGAAAATAACAGTGCCTCACTGTTGCTATACAAAATTCTGCTTAATAAAGTCTTTGAAGACATACAGAAAATGCTTATTCTTTAATAAACATCGAGTAAATAATTTTTACTTTCTGTTAACAGAAAGATGTCGCGCACTGTACTGGATGGTAGGACGACTATTCGACCACGCCGCGCTGTGGTGACGGTGGCAAGGCTAGAAGTAGTTGCCTTACTGCCCAGTAGAGGGTGCGAGATGTTTGTTTAAGAATAAGCATTCTGTATTTTTTTGACCTCAAAGAATTTATCAAGCAGACTTTTTTTTAAATGCAAATTTAATTGATGTCATCAATCTAGAATTTATTTCAGATTTGTGACATTGCTTCAAGTATGGGGAAAAGCTTATTTTTAATATTCATATAGGATCCATTACTTCAATGGGTTGAATGTGTGGGTCACGTGATTTTTGCGCCCAGGTTTAGTAAAATTTGGCTTTATGGTCGCAATCAAGTACACGTGTAAAAAATATTTACATGGTTAGTACAAGAACATCTGGAACCTCTTTCAACACGATATTAAACTAAGTCTAGCAAGCGAATGAGCTCAATATAAGTACATTTGATTGTTCCAATTGAACAATTCCGTTATTAATAACACCCGTCTCTACATGCCTATGAACTATGCACAGATGAAGGGGCATACCTCCTCTTACACATGTACACCGTATTGCTGGAGCTGATTGATACAATAATCAGTTATCAGTAGATGGCTTGTGGAGTAGTACAGTGTTGATAGTACAGGATCAGCAAAAAGGGTCAAAGGTGGCCTCGTTCCCAGGATTCTTTTTCCACTACTACTATACTAACACTCTTGCAAGATTACAAAACTTTCAACCATCGCAAAAACGTTCTAATTTGTGCCCTATTATGGCTATGGGTTAATTATATTTTTTCTTTATTTTTTCAACCTTGTCAACATTTAGTTATAATAATATTCTACATCTATCGATACGCCTTAATTGGGGGCTTCTGGGTTCTATAGGAGGTCTGGGAGGGGCTTCCTGGCCATGACCAAATGTTGCGTAATGCTCAAGTATACATTAAAGTAGATGTTCTGCTTTATCTATTTCCCTGTAGTAGGATATACTTTTAAAAACTGAACTGTAACCATAATCTTCAAGGTCACTGGCAAGGTCAAACCATGTTGACTAGTCTGGGAGAAGTACGAGCCCCTTCCCACTTCAGTTGGCCCACTTCGAGATTTGTACCAAAATATGCCTTTATAAACTAAACACGACGAAACTATTTACTTCTAAAACAATTTATTTTCTCAAAAACATTCTAGATACACTCTAGTCGTAAAAAATACATATTTGAAATCACTTAGACCTATAACTAATAGAACATCTGAACAAATAAACAATGTGCGAATAAATGCGCAAAGTTAACAAAGCAACAATTGAAAGATTACCATTGGGTAACATTTTTATTACGGCTGAAATTCTTTGGTGCATGGTGTTAACCAAGTTTTGGCAAAAATTTGGTATAAAACAATCCAATATTTCTTGAAGCTTTTGTCTCAATTCGGTGATTGTACGAGCAGGATGTTGTCGTAGAATCTTTTTCATCTCGTGCCACGAAGTTTCAATCGGTGACAGATCTGGACTGCTAGAAACCCATTTCAAAAGTGGTACATTATTTTCTTCCATCCATTTTATATCCTTTTTTGAGGTATGGCACGCTGCACCATCTTGCTGAAACACAAAATCTTGGCCGGATCTCAAACATTCTTCCATCACTGGTAAAAGCGATTCTTCTAAAATTGCCAAATATTTGTTTGTATCCACATTTCCATCAATAAAATGAAGTTTTCCTACTCCTGTTGATGACATACTGCCCCAGACCATAATGGATACTGGAATTTTCACTTTTCTCTTCAGACAGTCAACATGGAATGCTTCATTTTTTTTGCGAATAACTCTACTGCGACTGTCACCAACAAAAACTTCGAATCGGGCCTCATCACTCCATTGTATTGCACACCATTGTTTAGGTGTCCATTGTCTATGTTCTTTAGCCCATCTAAGCCGATTTTTCTTTTGTAGTTGAGTTAATAGTGGCTTTTCTTTGGCCTATAAACAAGATGTGCAACTTTAGGGTTTTTACTTCACTTTTTTTATAAGAAAACTTACCTTGCAAGTGCTAAATCCCAGTTTGTAGGCCTCTCTATAGTTGTGGACCTCGAAATTCTCCTTCCAACAGCGTCACTCACAGAGCACTTAATTGTAAATAATTGGCACGCCTATTTTTCACGATTATTCTTCTTTATGCTCTTCGGTCGGCATTTGTGATATTACTTTTTTCACATATCGTGGCTTAATATTAAATGAGTCAGTTACGTTATATCTTCTAACAATATTTCTCACACTGTACCGCGATAAGTCTAACAAAGTTGCAGTTTGATTTCCCAGAATTGAAAAATTTAATTATCAGTAACCGAATGTTCTCACTAATAACCTTTCCTCTACCCATTTTGAAAACCTTAACTACCCAAAACTATTTTAAACGTATTCTGACAGCTGTGATTAATAAAAACAATTTACATGGCTTTTATTTTTCACAGCCACCTATGCTTTATAGACTTATTTTGCATTGAAATGAAAATAGGTTGATATGCTGTAATTGCAACATGTGTTATTTTTATGCTGCAAATTTGATTAGGGAGTGACAAAGTTTGTGTTTTCTACTATATACGTATATTATCAAAATATTAATTGTTAATATTTTAAACCTATAACACCCTGCTACATTTTTATTATTTGTGTTTGATAAGAAAAAAAACTAAGATTTCAATAGTTGGGCCAACTGAAGTGGGAAGGGGCTCGTATGTGTTAATTCTTCTCTAATAATAGTATTTACTTATGTTGTCCTCCCACATCTATTAACCCCTACTTGTGTGTTTCTGGGTTCCGTATGGGGTAAAGGAGTTGGTCACATTAGGAGTTTTAATCGCCATGTTGAAAACTACCTCTATGCGAAATTTCAACAAATTTAGTCGTAAGCCATTTTCTATAAGGAAACTGCCTGGTTCTTTGCAGAAGAGGTTGAACATTTTTGAATGAGTTTTTTTTGTGTTAAGCACCACAAAGGCTTGAACTTTTAGCTATTATTTCAGATTTACCATGATGCATTTTCTAGTAAAAATGAATGTAGATATCGACATTTTTTTGTGTATAAATATGCAAAACTAATTCATTACAGCAAATCATTGGCCGTGTAAGGTGTAATTTTGAAGGCATCCTAATTCCCAACAGCTTTCTTTGACCACTTACAGACTTACACCAATAATTCATAACTATTTGACTATACGCAGAAGTGTCGTTTCTTCAACTATGACTCTTAATAAAAACATTAGCTAGCAACAATTTTTGTGTCTCTCGATGAGGACCGTGTTCATATATCCTCAAGAATATAATTCCGTTGTAAAGCAGCTTATTAATTTCTTTCTCTCAAAATTCTAGATATCCTGGTTTAATGTAAGATTATCAAAAATAAATTGCCCAAAATTATAAGGAAATAAAAAGGTGTTGTAAAAACCTGAACAGGAAATGACAATTATATTGATTGTAGAAACGATAATAATAATAAATAAGCAGAAATAAATCATAGCAAGGGCAGCTCCCCCCCCCTTGTTCCTAGTTCGGCAAAAATTAAATGGAAAGAACAATTTCTACAATAATCAAATTATCCAAGTATA